GCCCTGAGGCAGCCTGCTGTGGCCACACGTGGTCCGTGCTCTCTGGGTATGTAGTCACCTCCACCTTCCCTTTCACTCCATTGTCAGCCCGGTTACAGAAATCTCTCCCCCACACCACCCCGTGGCAGGAGGGGCCTCATGCAGATTTGTGTTGTTTTAAAGTAAACAAGTTTATGTGTTTCTGTATTTCAGTGTTTATGAGCAGCAGCTTATGTATTTCTGTATTTCAGTGTTTATGAGCAGCAGCTTATGTGTTTCTGTATTTCAGTGTTAATAGGCTTGTATGTTCAACTTGATTTCCTTAATTAAAAGCAACAGAACCAGCATGTCATCCTGTGTGTAGCCAGCATATGGGGGACTCTGTCCTAGTCCTCGGCTGTAGGATGCACATGGGAGTGTCTTACCCCACTGGGCAGTGTGGATGGAGCAGGAGACCGGTGCTCTGTAGACCAATGTGAAGTCATTTCCGTCTGGGTCCTCACACGTGCTCCCGCTTTTCTCCACAGCAGAACCCTTAGCTCGGGCTCCCACTCGCTTCGCTCACAGCTATGGTTTTGTCTGAGCCAGCCCCGGTGTGGGTAGGAAGAGGTTGCCATCCTCAGGCTCCAGGACAACACAAGCTTCCTGAACATCAGAGCCACTTGTGGGGAAGCCAATACTGACTCAGACCTGCCCTAGCCCCTTTCTCTCCTCATCTTTCTGCAGCCCCCTGGTGATAGAACTGGTTTGCTTCCCAGGATTCCATGCGTCCCTTCTCCTGTCCTGAGCCTTTGCATATGCTTTTCCCTTGGCCTGATTGCCTTCCCATCCTTGAGCCCTGCTTCCGGTTTGTAGGTCCCTGAGCCCCCAAGAGAGTGAAGTGCTCCTGCTGTGGCCCCGAGTTCCCACGCCCACCCTCTGCACAGTGTTTGCACTCACATCACCTTTCCTGAGCTCCTGAGAGCAGAGGCTGCTGCTATGGCCTCTGCAGCCGCGGGTGGTGTGTAAGTGTGCCGAGGGAACCAGCGACCTCCCGGTGCCACCCCAGCTTTCTCTGGTCAGTCTGGACGAGGAGCTAATGTTGCTGCAGTTGTAGAAGCGCTGATTTCTGTACAGCTAAATCTGGGCTTCTAAGCGGGTTTCCCTCGGCCTCATGGTTGGCAGGATGGCAGCAGTATTCCCTCAGCCCCTTTGGAGAACTACAACAGGATAGTTGGTCTAAACTCAGACTCAGGTGTCATTGCCTGTGGACCAAGTACCAGTACTGGTAGGCACTGCTAGCTACTTTATTATTTGTCAGGTCTCTGAGACATTCTTATGTCCTTGTAGTGGAGAAGACTGATTAATGGATTAAGCCTTGTTTGGGCTCACACAGCAGCAGGTGGCAGAGCTGGATTTGGAACCTGAATATTTCCTTGTGGCTAAGAGCAGGTTAAACATATTGCATTAGTCTTTAAAGACAGCAGTGTTGCCAAAGAGTATCTCCCCAGTGTTACTGGAGAGAATGCAGAAGAAAAGAGCTGTAGTCCGTGAGGTCAGCGCCTGAGTGACAGCTGTCAGGACAGCAGGGACTTTCCATTTTTCAAATGATACGTGGAGATTCAGGGATGTTCAAGGTCCCATAGCAGCACCTGAGTCATGAGAGGCCAAACAGATCCACCAATGTCCATTGACATCCTGCCCGTACCTTCTAATGGCAAATTATTATTTTTACTAGAGGCCTGGCGCCCAAATTTGTGCATAGGTAGGGTCCAGCAGGCCCACCCTGATTGGGGTGGATCTGGCTGGGTGGTGGTAGGGATGGGAGGGATACAGGAGGTTGGCTGGCCAGGCCCGCATCTGGTCGAACAACCAGGCAAGGGGACAATTTGCATATTAGCCTTTTATTATATATAATAGGATTTTGGTGGTATAACATGTTATGGGAGTAGGTTTTAAAAGACGAGGCAGCTTCCCTAGACAGCTTCTCTGACCAGATGAGGTGAAGCTTTGGTGAGGCCGGTGGTTTGTATTGATGCCTCAGCCTAAGGGCAGAACTTCCTGAGTGTCTGGATCTTCCCCCAAACAAGCGCCCCCCCCCCCATACACACAGCAAATCCACTCACACACTTACGTACCAAAAATTAAGCCACCAGGACAAAAATTTTATGGAAACCATTTTAATGCTAGGAAATGTTTTCACCAATTGCCCGGGGAAGTTGTAGGGCCTGACCCACATCCCATGGGACCTAGGGCCCCTGGGCAGCCACTCAGAGCTCGAGCCCCACCCCCATTTCTGCCCAGTGTGGGGATGTGTTGGTTCTTAGACCATGGTCTGGGAAGCCATGGCGTTCCCCCATCTTGCAGTGTCCCGCTGCTGCCCATGGGAAGGGGGGTTTGAGAACGTCCCCATCCATCGATCCCTAGAATCTCATTCAGTAGTCCTGTCTCCATCTCACTAAAGTGGGAGTTAGGGCTCAGAGAGGTGAAGTGTTTTGGCCAAGGTCACATAGTAAGTGACAAAGTTGAGATTCAAACCCTGGCTGCCTCCAGAGCCCCTTTGTGCTTAAAATAGGATCTAGGATAGTCTGTTCTTTTTGTTGCTCAATATTACCATTGATTTACAAAGTGTCCTTTGGGAAAAAAGTAATAAATACACAATTATAAAGACAAACTCAAAGCTTTTGGTCTGGAAAGAGATGGCTGCATGGGGTGTGTGGAGAACTGTCCAGGAAGAGTGACGGTTAGCATGGCTGGGCGCTCTAGACCAGGTGGCTGGATGGGAGCGAGCCACACACTGTCCCGGCTTAGGACTTTTTGACTGCATGGTAGTGCAAACGTGCGCTATGCATTCCGTAGAAACGGCGCTTTGAATTTTGATCTCCCAGGCTAGCCATGTGGTAGGACACCCTACTGTGACACTGGGCGGTGGCAGCAAGCAGCAGCTCCAGGTCAGCCACGAGTGCATGAGGGCAAACCACCGATGCTCTGTAGTTGACTGTCACCAGCACTGTTGTCTTGTCATCCCAGCATGCCTACAAAATACCCATCCATGTCTCCTGCTGGTGAGAAGAGGAAGGCGATTCTTGAGATGAAACTCAGGATAAATGCCCAACCGGAGGCTGAGCACATGTAAGGTGGGCAGCTAACCTCTGATGCCTGGTAGGTTAGGTGGTAACTGCATTTTTGACTTAAAATATTTCCATCTTAGGATGGTTTTTTTGGGGGGACGGAGCCCCACCCTAAGCCGAGTAGCATCCATACTTAAAGTGCCACTGCTTTCTCTCCACAGTGCGTCCCTTAGAGAAGGTAACGTGGCCCGCCTCTCCTGGGCATTGATTCTAAAGTGGTAGGTTCTCTCCCAGGAGCTCTGGCGGCAAGTCTGAGGGATTTCTCCAGCCGCGTTGCCAAAGGGAAAACTTTTGTGGACGCTACACATGCCATGCAGCAGAGAGGTGGTGGCCAGGGCTGCTGCTGCTGTGCTCGAGAGCCTGGCCGGGGCTTAGGACCCCCTCACACCCGCAGAGTGGCCATGGATGCTGCTATTCACAAACCATGGAGCACGTCCCCGCACTCATCCAGTGCACTCCCAGCCCAGCACTCCCACCCAGAACCGGGTGAGACACTGAACCAAGCCAGAGGGAAGGGTAAGATTTATATTCCTGTGGACAGTGACATGATCACTTAGCCCTTGGGTTCAGATTCCAGCCCGCGGCTGGTGGGAATGTGGTCCCTGCCGGAATGAAAGCACCTGACATCTGTCTTGGCCAAGGCAGATGCCCGAGTTGGGTGTGACGCTCGTGCACCGGGACTGGGAGCAGTCTGCTCCAGCCCCCGTGCGTTGTGCATCGTCACACCAGCTGCAGCACCAGTGGTTCCTAACGACTCCCTGCAGAATGGAGCCTGTGAGAAGAAGGAAGTAACCCTCAGGGCAGTTCCACACCCTGCGTCCTCCATTTCCTCCCGCAGAGCGAGACAACTAGAACTTGCGAGCAGTGCCCAGGCCAGCCAGGGCTCTTCGAGGTCCTGAGGCAGCAGGTGAGGCTCTTAGGGGGCATGTCCAGGTAGAAGGATGAGGAGGCTGCCCGCCAGGGCTCTTGTCCTCCAGGCAGTTTCCAAACAGAAGTCTCCCCACTGCCAAGCCCTTCGGCTTGCCTTGCCAGCCCATACACCGAGCGAAGGAGGGACAGAGAGAACCTTAAACACTTGTCTGCTCTGCGCGGCTGTGTCCACCTGGCTGGGTAGCTGGAGTCTGCTTCCAGGATACGTTGGGGACGAACAGACAACTTCCAAGGTTCCAGACCCTGATTTTTCTCCAGCGGTGGTCCAAGAGGGACCGGCGGCAGAACGCTGAAGGGCCGGGCGGGCGGGCCAGGCAGGCAGGCAGGCAGGCAGTCCCGGCCCTGAGAGAGGCAGAGGGGCCCGACAGCTGCACTCCATGCTGGAGAGCCCTTTCTAGACTCTGGTATAAAAGCCTCCGTTTCCTTCTTACGTTGGGGGTGAGAAAGCACTCCTGTCGTGAATGTTGGCCGCACATTCACATCGGCCCCAGCGGCCCACGTTTCCCGAAGCCATCCACCCAGTCCAGTCCGAGGGCTGAGTGGACTCGATCCTTTTGTACGGAACTGGGCGTCGGCTGGCCTCAAGCTCTTCCTCCCACCCGAGCGGCACTGCCCCTGGTGGAGAGAGAGCGAGGGCCCTGGCGGCTCTACAATGGAAGGCGAACGCTGGCAGGAAGGCCTGGGCCCACGGAGGGGAGCGGACCTGCCCACCCAAGGCCTCGGGACCTGGGGCAGAGCCAGGGTTCCTGGCTTCTCAGCCCCTTGCTAAAAAGCATTTGACTCTCCATGAAAATACAGACTAAAAATATTGCCGAGTTACCGCAAGCCCGTATCGGTAAGCCTCATGCCCTGTGACTGCCCAAGGGGCCGTGTTCTCTGTTTGCTAGCTACAGTCTACATCGCTTAAAAAACGGAAAAGCCGTAACGCTCCATTCAGAATGCAGTCCCGTTAGGTGACAGGCTCCACTTCGTGGCCTAAAATTAATCACGTTTATCGGCTGCATAGAGGATGTTGTAGTGGGAAGTTTTATAGAGCAGGTAAACGGAAGGGGTGGCAGCCTCGGGGAACACGTGGTGGTTCAGGGCCGTGTCCATCTCGTCCACGTACTCCACCTGCAGGGCGATGTTCAGCGCCTGGGACAGGGCCGTGATCTGGATGTGGTCACACTCCATGGCCATGGGCTCCACTTCCTGCAAAGGCCGAAATGGAAAACCCCGATTTAGGGAGGAAGCCCGGCTCTCGCGTTCCCGGGTCAGCGTGCCTGCCTCCGCGCCCCTGCTGCTGCTGGTGGTGGCCACGCAGGAGCGCGTGTGGCCTGGGAGCTACATCTTCCGGAGAAATCCAGATTTTTCCTCTGAAAATCGCCCAGCGGTTTACATGGTGGCAGCTCTGTCGGGTTCATGCTATCCATCCTAAACAACAGACATCTTGGGGCCAATGTGACTCTGGGGTTGCTACCCCTTAATTATGTTCACAGTCCAGTCCGAAGCCCCATTTCTCTGATGGGAGCGCTGAGGCCCAGAGCCACCCCGTTCAGGCAGGCAGTTCACGGAGGAGGATGCTGCTGGCTGGCTGATCTGTGCTCCTGGCTAGGGAGGCTGGTGCTCCAATCCCCTAAGGAGTGAGGGTGGAGCACAGAGCCCGGGGCTGGGGCCGCGTCCCCACAGCCCGAGCCCCGGAGGACCTACGTGAGTGCAGAAGTCCTTGATGTCCATCTCCTCGTCGACGAAGTGCCGGAAGAAGTCTGCGCGGGTCCTGATGAAGGCGGAGGTGAGCAGGCGCAGGAACTGCACGATCCCGTCGGAGGCGCTCTGGTCGTTGAACACCTTCAGCAGGCTGGCCACCGAGCCGTCCTTCTCCACCAGCTCCACCACGCTGTAGAACTGGCCGCGGGGGTCAGCCGGCACAGCCAGCCCCGCGCCCCCCTCCGCCCTCCGCCCTCGGGGTGCCTGCCACCCACGCTCACTTCTAAATCCTCAAGTCGAGGTCACAGCAAAGCTAAGGAATGAGTGACTCGGCCCAGTGACTCGGCCGGAGTCAGGTCTAGCGCACAGCAGTGGGGGTGTGCCTCCGTCACTCGCTGGGATTGTTACTTAGAGATTCTGAGCCGAGAGCCCCCCTTCAGGAATGGGGTCGGGGGAGTGGGGTGGAGAGGAACTGGGGGGAAGAGATTGAGAGGGGGGTTCCCATCCTGAAAGCTACACTAACGAGGTGCCTCCTCCCAGAGGGAGGGCAGGGCTCTGAGCTCCCTGTCACCCCACATCCCCACCAGCAGGAAGCACCCCTCAGTCCTTGCCCGCTGGGGGGAGCCAGTGAGGCACAACCACAGAGCCAAGGGCGGGGAAGGGGCTCGGGCCGGAGCCCACCCTGCCTGCTGGGTCAGCGGGAAGGCCCGGCCGTCCGCAGGTTAACTCACAGCATTGAAGAAGTTTCGGAACTTGTGCTCCTCAAAGCCGGCAGCCAGGAGGTCATGTGGGGTCTGCAGTACACGCTCTTTGAACCTACAGGGGTAGGTGGATGCTTATAGGGAAATACAGGGAGTGCTGCTGGCCCTGTAGCTGTCGTCCCCTCTCACCAGCTGCCCCCCAGTATAAGGTGTATCCCTAACCGGTGGAGAATGTCTCTGCCTCTCGGAGCCCTGCCTCGTGGACCACACACTGACTTGTTCGGTCCTCACTACAATTCAGGGAGGTGGGTATTATACCCATTTCCTGGATGAGGAAGGTGAGGTAATCACCACCTGCCCCCAGACGAAGGCCTCTTGGCTCCGTCCCTCCTCTGTCCCCAGGGTTCATCCCCAGCCTGGCCTGGGCCTCGCCTTGCTCCTGGTCACTTCTCTGCAGGGACCTCCAAGTGACCTCCACAGCCTTCCCCCTCAGCACCGGTGTCCCGCCTCGCTCACCAACCTCATCGCTAACCCAGTCCTCCAGCCACTCCCCACGTGCCCCTCACCCCTTAGTCCCCACTGTCCCCTCAGCCGGACGCTTCTATGTGGTGTGCTAGCGACAGTTTGTTCCCATTCACAAGAGCTAACGGTTAAATTTTTAAAAGTTTTGCCAGCCAGGTGTTAAACACAGCCATTATTTAAAGATCAACTACGTACACTAGCAATTAAATTATGCTAAAAACAAAGATAATATTCAAAACTCATCATTTTATTATTATGTGCTCTTAGGGTTCTCTGCCGGTTATGTACATGTGATAGAAACACAAGGTCACTCAGAAAACGCAATGAGTAGCTCATTCAAAATGAGGACCAGGTGGCTTTGTTTCTCCATCCCCTTGGAGAGGATCTGTCTTTGGAACAGGAGGTGATGGCCTTAACCTAGCAGTTCTCAACCAGGGTGCCTCCCCCACGCCCCGCCATCACCCCCTCCACCTTTCCCTGTCCCAGGAGATCCTGGCAATGTGTGGAGACATTCTGGGTTGTCCTGACTTGAGGAGGGTGCTCCCAACATCTCGTGGGTGGAGGCGAGGGATGCTCTAAACATCCCACAGAGCACGGGACAGGGGCCAGCCCCACGGCACAGCCATCCCGCCCGCCATGTCCGCAGGCTGCCCCTGAGAAAGCTACCTAGCCAGGGGGTTCGGACACCGGGTCCACAGGTCACCCCTGAGTGCTCTGTGACGGTTAGGGCCTTGACTGCCCCCACCTCCAGTATGGCAGGCAGCTGGGCATCCCTGGACATCAAAGCCGCTGCCAGGCAGCCCTCCAGCCCACTCCCTGGGTTACGTGGGCCGCGCCAAAGGACAAACCCTCCAGGAGATTCAGCGCCCCGCCCCGCCCCACTCACTTGAGGACCTCTCTGCTCTTCCCCAGCAGCGACTCCAGGTAGGAGTAGCCCAGAGCCCGGTAGAAGCAGTTCCCGTCCCCCTTGGTCTTGCGGATGGCGGAGAACCTTTTGCTGAGCTCCTGTGGGGAGACAGGGTAATGTGGGCGTCTGCAGCATCACCAGCTGTCACGTGCTGTCAGAGCCGGCTTTCCCCCACCCCCCCTCAGGCTGCCCGCCTTCAGTCTCCCAACCTCATCCTCCCAATCGAGGCTCCTCTCCTCCAACCTCCTGCCTCACCTGGATCTTCCTCTGGTAAATCCTGTTTTCAGGATGGTCCCGGAGAATTGAGAGAATGTCACATTTTTCTGATATTAGGTGGAACGATGATTCACTCTGAAAGCACAAGAAGCAAAGCTGGGGCCATTTCAGAAGCAACCAATGGGCCCTCACCAAGTTCAAAGCCTCTGAACTGCTAGTTGCCCGACACAGGGACTGTCACCTTCCCCCAAAAGGCACATGTGAGACGTTACCAGCGTCCTGCATGCCCTGTTCCCCGGACAGGGAGTCCAGTCGGCCACCGTGGAAGGCACCATCTGGTCCCCGCTGGACTGATTCATCTTTAATATACTGCCTCGAGCCAGTGAGCCTTCCTGCTGGGGCACGATACGTTCCCTGGCCCTCTGTCCTTCCCACCTCACTCACTCATCCGTCCCTTCTTTTAGTCACCCAACGATTCCCAACACCCAGTCTGCACGGAGCAGTGCTGGAAATGCAGACGTGGTAGCACCTGGCCGGATGCGCCACCTGCTGGTGAGAGCTCATATTGCAGCCCAGCTCAGAGACTAGGTCAATTCCAACCCAGAGAGGCTCCCGACCCAGAGTCTGGGCTGGGGCCTCAGGTCGGCTGAGAAGTCCCAGGCAGAGCAGGTGATGGCAGCGGTGGGCAGCTCAGAGCCAGGGAGAGTGCAGGAGACTCTGTCCTAACGATCCCTCCCCCAGGCCATGTCTCTGCTTTCCGCTCTGCCTGCCAGACTCAGGGCTCCAGTGAGTGGAGCTGCACCCCTGCCTCCAACGTGCCTGGGAACAGCTCTGATTTCAGCCCAGAAATAACGTAGGGCCGTGGTCGGCAAACTGCGGCTCGCGAGCCACATGCAGCTTTTTGGCCTCTTGAGTGTGGCTCTTCCACAAAATACCACGGCCTGGGAGAGTCTATTTTGAAGAAGTGGCATTAGAAGAAGTTTATGTTTAAAAAATGTGGCTCTCGAAAGAAATTTCAATCGTGCTGTTGATATTTGGCTCTGTAGACTCATGAGTTTGCCGACCACTGACGTAGGGGAATTTGGTGTGAGAGCCACTGGCAGTTAAGTTTAAAACCTGCGGCCCTGGTACCTGCACACAACCCAAGGAGACGGTTCTTATGCGACCGTTCTCAGCTGAGAGGTTGGAGTTAATGGGGGGGGGGGGGGGGTTTGTAAATGGAAAGCCGGTTTTCTGTCCACTTAGTGCCATTGTTTTTGACAGAGTGCCCCCACCCACACAGCCTTTCTGGGGCGGCCTCTCAGCCCTGGTCCCTGTGCCCAGCATCCAGGACAGAGGAGAAGTGCTACGGCTCAGAAGCATTTCGGGGGGCCTGGATGCCCCTCCCCGTCAGAGTGTCCCAAGCCACACGGGCCTTCCCTGGCACAGGACAGTGTGTCAGACCCCCTGAGACCTTCCGTTCGCCTGGCCGATTCCCAGGGCCCACCCCTGGCCTTGGAACAGAGGAGTGGATGAGATGGTCGTAGAATGTATTTCACTCCCTGTCTGCGCCCTCCCACCCTCCACGAAGTGAATGCCCAGGCCCTTGCATGTGCCTTTCGTTACTACCTGAAGGCTCCTCCACAGCCAGGCCTCAGGCCCACGCCTCCACCTGTACCTCCTGCCGCCCTCGGACCCCCGTCCACATACCCGTTAGTGCATCTGTGAACATCCTCCAGCCTGGCTCTGAGGTGCTGGTGGGCCTCACAGGTCCACCCTGGGCCCTTGCGGCCAGCCCAGCCTCCCTCTGAGGCCACTCTGCAGGGCCATCCTGGGCTGAGTCAGCCTTGTTAACCAGGCCCAGCTGCCCCGAAGCCACAACTCATGGCGTGGCCACAGCCTCCAGTTCCCGACTCCTAGAGGCCAGGGCCTCCAGGCTCACCCAGCAGCAGGGCAGGCCCAGAACCTGGCCAACCTCCCTCCTAGAAGGTACCATCACTTCCAGAGGCTGCCAGGGGCTCAACCCTGGCTTTGCCTGCCTGGGGCTAGGTCTCCAGAGTGGGATGGCTCAGGGGATGTAAGGAAATGCCCTTTTAAATGTCTGCTTTAGGAGCGATGTGTAATATACAAATACTAGAGGCCCGGCGCACGAAATTCATGCACGGGGGTGGTGGTGGGGTGTCCTCTGGCCCAGTCTGCACCCTCTCCAATCTGGGATCCCTCGGGGGATGTCCGACTGCCGGTTTAGGCCCAATCCCAGGACTACTGGCTCCTAACCACTTGCCTACCTGCCTGACTGCCCCCTAACCACTGTGCCTGCCAGCCTGATAGCTCCTTAATCGCTCCCCTGCAGGCCAGATCGCCTCCAACTGCCCTCCCCTGCTGGCCCGATTGCTCCCAACTGCCTTCCCCTGCAGGACTGAAGGGACTGGGGGACTCCAGCTGGATGAGGTGGGGCTGAAGGGACTGGGGGGACTCCGGCTGGATGAGGTGGGGCTGAGGGGACTGGGCGCTGCCATCTCGTGAGGGCCTGGCAGTCAATTAGCATATTTCCTCTTTATTAGATAGGATGTGGAATGATCAAAACATTTTTACTCAGGTGAGTAATCAAAAATGCTTGGAGGCCAAAGACTTAGGAAAGGCCTAGAGCCCCGATGAGTTTCCTATTGCTGTTTCACAAATTAGCACAGACTCAGGAACTGAAGCAGCACGGACTTATCATTACCTGTGCTTCCTGGAGGCTCCGGGGAGAACCCACTTCCTTACGTGTTTCCATTTCCAGAGGCTGCCAGCACTCCTTGCTCATAATCCCTTCCTTCCCTCCTCCCGGCTCCTTCTCACTCTGACCTGCCCGCCTTCCCCCTGATGAGAACCCAGGGGCCCCCCGGTAATCCAGGGCATCTCCCCTTCTCAAGAGCCTCAACTTCCTCACACCTGCGGAGGCCTGCTGCCGTGTGAGGCGCCCTGCTCAGGGGTTCTGGGATTAGGATGTGGGCACCGTTGGGGGACTACAGCTCAGCCCACCATCCACACGCCCCTTCTCTGTTGTTTAGCTCAGAAACCAGGGAAGACCCTGTGCGTGGGCCCCCGTATGTCTTGGGTCACAGTTATTGGCTGGCCTTGCAGAGACCCTGAATTAGAGACTGGCCCCCCCTTTTATTTGATGCCTGAACTTGTACATATCCTCACAATTTGACCTCTTCCTGGAGATCTGGCCTCAAACAGCCATCAGCCACTGGCATGTCTGACCAGCATCCCCAAATGACTGTGGCCCTTCCTGCTCTCACTCCACCTCGGCCTCCCCTCTCAGGGGTCCCCAGCTCCCCAAAAGGCCCCTCCAGCCAGCAGAGCTCACACCATAGGCTCAGGAGTCCTCCTCACCTCTCCCCATCAACCCTGCTCCTGGGTCCAACCTGAGCCGCCACCATCTCCCCAGAGGCTGCAACAGGATCCCTAATGGACTCCTGGCTTCCAGCCCTGCCCCCACCCAACATCCGACACAGCACCCAAGGCAGGCTGCTTAACACGTAAACCAGGCGCCGGCATTCCCTGCCTCAACACCCCCAATGGCGCCTCCCTCAGGAGAAGCCTGAGGGGACAGCTCCCAGGCCTCCACCATCTGGCCTTGCTCTCCTCCCTCCGCCTGAGCCCCAGCCACAGTGACACTCAGCGTGTTCCTCCAACAAGACGCCATGTTCCCACCTCAGACCACCCACTCCTGCTGTTCCTGCCGCCTGCCATCCTCTGCTGCCTCCTCATGTGACTCCGTGACGTCACCTCCTCGGAGAGGACTTCCCTGCCACCCAGTTCCATTTCTTCAGAGCATCCTCTGACCCCCAGGCTCCCTCCTTTACTTGCACACTGTCTGTCACCCTCCACTAGGATGGCAACTACATAAGGGCAAGGACTCGCCTGTCAGGACTAGATCCCCGTGCCTGGCACCCAGAAATGCCCCAAACTGCACACTGAGTGGATGAGCCGGTCTCAGACTCCAGCCTGGCCACCTCCAGTCCTGTGTCCATTGCACAACCAGAGCCCCGTGCCCACTGCACTCACTGCCAGAGCCCCGTGCCCACTGCACTCACTGCCGGAGCCCCGTGCCCACTGCACTCACTGCCGGAGCCCCGGGCCCACTGCACTCACTGCCGGAGCCCCGTGCCCACTGCACTCACTGCCAGAGCCCCGTGCCCACTGCACTCACTGCCAGAGCCCCGGGCCCACTGCACTCACTGCCAGAGCCCCGTGCCCACTGCACTCACTGCCAGAGCCCCGTGCCCACTGCACTCACTGCCAGAGCCGCGGGCCCACTGACTGCACTGCCAGAGCCCTGGGCTCACTGCATTCACTGCCAGAGCCCCGTGCCCACTGCACGGCCAAAGTCAACCATCTCTCACTGGTCAAAAATATGTTATGGTCCTTCCCATTAGCAGAATAAAACCCAACCCCAAGGCCCAAGGTGTTCTGACCCCACCTATGTTTCTTCTTTAAAATATATTTTTATTGATTTCAAAAAGGAAGGGAGAGAGAGGTTGAATGAATGAATCATTAATCAGCTGCCTCCTGCACACCCCACACTGGGGATTAAGCCCGAAACCCAGGCATGTGCCCTGACCGGGTATCAAACCATGACCTCCTGGTTCATATGCTCAACCACGGAGCCACGCCGGCCAGCCCCACCTATATTTCTAGACTCAGCTCTCCCCCCAGCTTCCTGCACTCACACGGACCACTATCCTTCCCTAAATACCCACTCTGACCTCTTCCTGGAGATCTGGCCTCATATCCTTAGCCATCCTTCCAGGCCTTGAGCATGCTGTGCCTCCTGCCTGGGATGCACTTCTCCCAGGATCCCTCCTGAAGGTACATCCTTCAACACCCAGCTGCCAAGCCCTCCTGGTGCAGCCCCGCCAGCACACCCCCACCCCCTCAGAGGGTGCCGGCTTCCCTGGGCGCTCCCAAAGCCCTGGTGAGACCTCAGGCCAGACCAGGAGCTCCGGCACTGCTTGTGCCGGGCTATGCCTTCACCAACAGGCCCTGGTCTCTCCCACCAGTGCCCAGCGTGACTGGGATCTTGTTTGACAAATAAAAGAACCCAGTCACAGAAGGGCCCTGTGGTTTTTAGTCCACCACTGACACCCATGCATTCACCCAACGTCAAATGCCCTTCGAGTGAGCATGGGACCCTCACCCCCTGCAGCCCCGGGTCTGGCCCTCATCCTGGCCCTGGTCTTCCCCGGGTTCTGTGTCTTCTCGCTGGGACCCTTCCTTGACTTTGAAACGGGAAAGGAGAGAAGACGCTGCATTTTCCAAAGCCATTCTCCTCTCACACGCACCACCACTCACACCACGCGGCCCAGGGGCCACACGGTGCCTGGCAAACAGCACGTGCTCAATAAATGCTGAGTGAATAGAACAGACCTACACGCAGCCTGTATGTCTCTCTCCCCCGCCCCCCCAACCCCCCATTATTAGGGAGGTGTGCGTGCCTTGGAGATATCCTACTTAGTGGGTTCCTCACTTCCTCCCTCTCGGAGGCGCCCAAGCCTCGCTGTGGTGGTGACCGGGCGAAGGTGTGATGCTCTTGACCCCACCTGCCCTCTACCTTCCAGTCTCACGAGTCCAGGGCAGGCAGAGCGGCAGGGTCCGAGGTCTCACTGTCCAGCACCAAGGGCGGACGCTGAGGCCACAGACCTCACTGTGCCTGCCGTTTTCCCAGCTGCCCAGAGGCGACCAGAGGCACGCCAGCCCCCAGCTCCAGGTTGGCTAACCCCATTATTACCCTGTCCCAGGCTGCTCCCTGGTGGGTGATGCAAACACACCCGGGCCCCTTGCCCTTGGGCACTGGGCAGAAGCAGGAAGCTGGTGCTTCCTGATGCCCCGGAGACCTCAGCCACACCCCGCAGGGAGCTGGTTTGTCCAGGACAGCGAGGTCACACCCAGAACGTGCCAGGCCATGACCAGGCTTTGACCCATGACCCTGCCCAGCAGCCTCCGGCAGGAGTGACCCATTTCCATGCCCAGACCTGGGAGGGAGGAGGCCGAGCAAAAAGAACCAGGCACCTGTGCACACCCATTGCCAGGACCCAGTGATCACAGGAAAAGCCGTACCATACCCCATACCCCTCCCGTGGTCCTCACAGCAACCCCTTCTACAGATGAGCACCATGGTGCTAGGGAGGGCGATGGACCAACAGGAGCCTCCCGGCCTCCCAAGGGGTGGAGGTGAGGCCTTAACTCAGGTTCTGTGCCTCCAAGGGCCACCCACCTTAACACGCCCCGGGTCCCTGGGGCAGGGGTCTCACAGGCAGTGGGCACACCCAGCACCCTGCGGTGGCCTGACCCCTCCTGCAATCCAGGAAGGTGCACTGCTGTAACACAGGAGCACTGGACTGCGAGTCCAGAGGCTCAGGTTCAAGGCCCAGGCTCACCTGTTTCCCCGCCTGCTCGAGCCCCAGGTCGGTCTCAGCTCAGAGGGTCTTTGGGGCCCTTTCTGCTCAGACAGGAACCTGGACCAGGGGTTCCCCTCTTCTTGGCTTTGCCCTCACTCCTAAGTCCTGTGCTTCATCCCCAACCCCAGGCAGCCTCTCCCTGCGAGTCCTGACCCCAAACACTGCGCGGGGCGGGGGGAGGGCTGTTCGGTGACCGGCCCCCGCGCACCCCCATGTCCCCCCGTGGCCGTGGGAGGGTGTCTCTGAGGGCTGAGCAGCCGGCTGGGGGGTTCCTTCTCAAAGAGGCGGCGACGCTGAGCCCCGGGGCCGCCCCCGGACCCGGTTCCCTTGCCGGACAGCGCCCTCGGGGACCCCCGAGACGGCGGGGTGGTGCGTCCCCGGCCCCGCAGGGCCCTCCGTGGAAGGACCGGGGCCCCCAGCACCCATCCCGACCCGGTGTCCCCGGGGTCCGAACGCCCCGGGTCCGCGCTGGAACCTGCGCCTCGCGCCCCGACTCCCTCCCACCCCGCGAGTGCGCATGCGCCCCGGGGCCGCCCCGCCCGCCGTGCCCACCGCCCGCGCCCCCTGCCCGCCTCCTGCCGCCACTGACCATAGTGACCGAGGCTGTCGGGCCAGGTCCCGCCCCAGCGAGGAGCGATCCGGTGCGGGAGGGCGCCGTGGAGCCACGGGCTGGCTACGCCGTTGGTTCGGGCGGCGGCAGGGGCCTCGAGGGCTTGGCGGGGGGCGTGGAGGCGAATACACCCGACCGCTCCGCAAACCGGAGCCCAGACCTGCACTGTGTCCCAGCGAGACACACGCCCCGCGATTGACGTCCGCGGCGGGCAATCAGGGGCCGGGGCTCAGAACGTCACAGAAAGTGGGCGGGCCTTCACGCGCCTTCAGCGTATGCGCTAGGGTCCATTGGGAAGGGTGCCGCCCCCTTTTAAAGACACAGGAAGCTTTTTAAGTAAGGAAGGACTTGGCACCATCCCGAATGAGAAGTCTTCCTTAGTAAAGGCTTCGTTTGTAATCGAAACGGCAAATCGATGTCTCCTGAAAGACCGGCTGGCCCCCATTCATTCACAAACAACGTCATAGGAGTAACAGTTTACTGAGATCAGAGAACAGGCACTGAGGGAGCATGCATCCAAAACATCAACTGCCTGCCCTAAGGTAGCTTCTCAATGATAGTTCACCCGCTTCCAACTCATGAATCAGTAGGGTGCCAGGCCCCCACGAATATGTGCGGAACAAGTGAATTTCCAGGATTGTTGATTCTGGGCCTCTGGAATGGTATGGTCATACAGGAGGCACAGAGCGTGACCCAGACCTGGTGACTCACCAGGCAAACAAGCTCATTATTACTAAACATCAAACAAAGAAGTATGTTTCATTCAAATATTTAGTCACACGCCCTTGGCCCCTGGAGGAGGCGCATTAGGTGGGGAGAGGGGGTGAGGGGGGAGAGGTTTGTGGGGAATGGGGCTGCAGTGCCTGGCATGTGCCCTTTTTACCAATATTAATACTTCCAGGAGCAGGCCATAAGCTGTTCCCACCCCACCCTCACTCCCCTGTCTCGGGAACCAATTGAGGCTCCTGGAACACAGGCCTGTGTCTTCCAAACGCATCTGTGGACTAGGTGGGGAGCCTGGGGCCAATATCGCTGATATTTACTGAGCCCTTACTGTGTACCAGGCACTGTCCTAACCTCTCAGCCTGTATTATCATTCTTAACTTGCCCACAGCTAGTGCAGGCAGGTAAATTCACAGCACCAGGGAGGTGGGGGGCATCCCAGACAGCCTGGCTCCAGAGCTGGTTTTGGATTCACCTTGCATGTGACTGCAGGGGTGGGAGGATAAGAGAGGGTGGGAAGGGAGGGGGGTATTGCAAAAGAGGCTTTTGTTTTTGAGAAAAGATCTTTCTGGGAAGAACAATAGAACTTGGGGGGTTGGAGAACTGGGGAGGTGGGTTTGGCTGAATGGGAAGAACTTCCTGGAATTGGGGAAGGGGTGAAAGCAGGTGCCTCCAAACAAGGGGCACTCCTAGCACTTTCCTCACTCCCCTGGCACGGGACAGAGGCCTGCACTGTCCCTGGGACTCAGCACCTGACCCTTTGCCCCTCCCTTCCAGGCACCGGGATGTTTGGGTGAGTGGTTGCTGTGAGCAAGGGAAGGAGTCCCTCTCAGGTGTCTTTCCGCGATGCCAGGTTTGTTAGGGGAAACTCCCCATAAGCCAGTTCGGTCACATGCAGAGAGGGGAGCTTATGAGACAGGAGCGCCTACAGGTGGAGAGACAGGCGTTGGTCTCAAGCCAGGTTCCTGCAGAGACAACACGCCTCCAGGGAGTGGAAGCCAGGCTGGTCTCTGAGTGTGACCCTGGTACAGCCCAGCGCGTGCGTCAGGTGGTCGGAGCTCTGAGTTCTTACAGCCCCAGGAGTGGAGGTCCCACCCAGGTTGGTGGTCAGTGGTGTTCGCGTAAAAAACCCATTGAAACCTGTAAAGAAAGTGTGTGCGTTTATTGGAGCCCAACTGTCAACATATGTCGGGAAGCAGAACCTCAGCGAATTGAGATAATGCTCCTGAGAATGGGGGGGTTACATCTGTATTTATACATTGCAATCAAAGGAGGGATGTAGGTGGGTTACATGAAATCCATTGGTGATAGATTAAGGAGGTGAGAGAAAGCAAAGTGGGGGGAGGGGGCTCTGGAATAGGGTGAGAAGTGAAATGATGGACACATACTTAGGTGGGTGCAGGAACAATGAACATGATAATGAAGGAATTTGTGGTCTCTGTCCTGGCATCCAGCACATTTGGTTGTGTTCTGAGGGGCCCAGAAAAAGGGAAGTTACAAGTTACTCAGACACTTCAAGGGTATGTTACCAAAGATGCAAAAAGACGGATAGGCCCTGTTAAGGGAAAGGTTGACCTTGTCAGGGAAGATACTGGCCTAGGATGTAACTGCCCACCGTAACTGTGTTTAGTTAAAGTTTAATTTCAGACCATCCTTTGTGGCGACTTTAGGTCTCTGAGTTTGCAAGCCCGCCATGCAGGCCTCCCCTGAGTGTGTCAGGTCAGCATGTGGCCCCTTTCGTTCACAGTGGAGTCCTTATCTGAGAGTCCTTATCTGAGAGCCCAGTCCTTATGGTTTGGGGCCTGCTGGACCCCTCCTAAGGGCGTTCCCGCTGCACCCCATCACCTCAGTCTTGACTTAGCATTTAACACGACTGTTGTGGCTGACTGTGACTCCACACTGGATAGCCCACGGTGTCCAAAGAGTCTATTCTGTTCTTGCTGTGTGACGACAGGACCAAAGACGGCTCCTTCGACAGAGACTTACTGCACATGGCCGTGTGACGGGCACTGACTGCACGTCTGTGCACAAAGCAGACAAAAACCCTGCCCCCACTCAGCTTCCGTCCAGTGAGGAGAGGATGGACCCTCCAGTACTCTCCCTGGCCCAGCTGCCCAGGACCACAACCCCCGACATGGGGAGGGAGGATGGGGAGGGAGCCTCCAAATGATGGAGATTTAATTTTTCCACCGGCCCAGGGAGATGGGACACACAGTGAGAGGCCATGTTAGTGAGGAAACCCGAAAGGAATGCGATGTGTCTTGTACCCTCAGAGAAGGTCCCGCAGAGCCAGCTACATGCATGCCAGGCTGGCCCAGCTTTTCAAGCATGAGACAAGGAAACCTGGAGGAGAAGTCGTCTTACAAGGCTCGGCTATCCCATGTCACTGCTCACTTTTCAGTAAAAACATGGCCCACGGACCCTCAAAGGCCCAGGATGGGCTCATTTCCCAGCCAGCTGCCCACTGGTGGGCTCCTCCAGGCCTGGGTTTAAAAGCTGAAATCTCGCCGTAACCGGTTTGGCTCAGTGGATAGAGCGTCGGCATGCGGACTCAAGAGTCCCAGGTTCGATTCTGGTCAAGGGCATGTACCTTGGTTGTGGGCACAACCCCAGTAGGGGGTGTGCAAAAGGCAGCTGATCAATGATTCTCTCTCATCGATGTTTCTAACTCTCTATCCCTCTCTCTTCCTCTCTGTAAAAAAATCAATAAAATATAAAATAGACATATTAAGTTTTCAAAAAAAATCAATAAAATATATTAAAAAAATAAAAATAAAATACACTGTAACATTATTATTATTATTATTTTTAAAAAGCTGAAATCTCTTCAGCTCAGAGAGCAAGTGCTTGTACCGCGTGCAGGTTCCTGGGCTGGGCAGGGCACACTGTGCTCCATGAAAGGAAAAAGCAGAGGACGTTTGGGATGGGATGGGGCTTGGAGAGAGCTGCCCGGTCCAGCCCCAGCCTCACCTCCTGAAGGCTGGAAGGTGTCCCAGCTACACGCCTGGTGCAGGGACATGACCTCTGTGATGCTCAGCCTCTCGTGGCCCCAGCGACCCCAGCTTCTGTGTTCATAGAAATAATCCCCTCCCCTTGAGTGTGGGCTGGATTAGTGAGTTGTTTGTGATGAAGAGAGTACAACAAAAGTGACGCAATGTTATTTTTGAGATCAAGGTGTTAGAAATAAGGTGATCCCCCCAAGTCAGGGGTCCTGGTAGAACACAAAACACTGGGGAGCCAGGCAGCAAGGCAAACATACTTACTTCTATGTAGAAGGGTGCACACACATGGTCTGGAAGCACGTGCACACCAAGCAGACTGTCTGCTTGGCTTTAGCATCCCTGACACATGTGACCTGTCCTTTGCTCTTGATTGGAGCTCAGGCGCACAGTCTTTCTCGATTGGCTAATTCAAAGGGAGGGGTTGGCCTTTGCTGTTTCAAGGTGGCAGCCCCGAGGGGAGCTGCAAGCCATATGGCCAACCTGGCGGCTGCCAAGTCACACGCTCCAAAATGGTGGCTGTCTAAACTGTTCTTTGGCCGAAACTGGTTTGGCTCAGTGGTAGAGCATCGGTCTACGAACTAAAGGGTTCCAGGTTTGATTCCGGTCAAGGGCATGTATGTTGGTTGTGGGCACATCCCCCATAGGGGGTGTGCAAGAGGCAGCTGGTCGAGGTTTCTCTCTCATTGACGTTTCTAGCTCTCTATCTCTCTCCCTTCCTCTCTGTAAAAAAAATCAATAAAATATATTAAGAACAACAACAACTGTTCTTTGACAGAAAAGATGACGTGTTTATTCTCACAATTGTAACAAAGACCATGCTTGACCTCCCTTCTCTCTCACTTGCCACCTTGTGAGCTGGTATGGAGATGTCCCATAGATAGGGCAAGGAGCTGAGGGAGGCCTTCGGCCAACAGCAGTGTGGGTGAGCTTGGAAGCTGATTCTTTTCCAGTTGAACCTTCAGTTGAAACCACAGCCCTGGCTGATGGCTGGATGGAAGCCTTGTAGAGACAGCCTGAGCCAGAGGACCCAGCTAAGCCATGCCCAGACTGCTGACCCATAGGAATATAAGAAGGGACTATAGGTCCATTGTTTTATGCTGCTAAATTGTAGGGCACCCTCAGGACCCTCAGCTGGAGACATTGTTCCTCCCAGTTCACAGCCCTTGCAGTAGAATCCCTGGAGTGGAGAGCTGGTTCCATCCTTCGAAGCCACACCCTCCTACTTAGCTCAGAGCAAATGAGACCAGTGCCTTCCTGATCAGGCTGTGCCTAAAGCCGGAATCCTAGCCTTTCCATGTCAAAGTTCAATGCATTCTCTCAGTGGCTTAAGCCCAGTTGAGTTGGGCTTGCTGCCATTTGGAACCAACTAGCTCTGGCTTTATTAACTTAAATGTCTTGACCTAGAATTACTGAGCCAGAGGACATAAACATCTTACGCCTCTTGAGACCTATCAAGTTGCTTTCCAGGTTGTTTATTCTGCAGAGAGCATCGCAGTGTCTGTGAGCCTAAATCACAGCAGTAGCGTACTAGCTTAAGAGTTTTAGGTGGGCAGAAATTAGGTAGTTTTTATTTTTAGTGACCTGGAATATGTTTTATGTTTATAGGCCATTTTTACTTATTTTGTGATTTGTTAAATAGGAACAATTGGTGTCAATTTTTTTCCTCGTAAGAGTTCTTAAAATATCAAAAGTTGCTTCTTTTTCACATTTCTCAACATTTCCACCAGTTGTCTTTGAATATTTTGGTGTGTTCTGAGATAAATGTATTTTTTTAAATATATTTTTATTGATTTCACAAAGGGAGAGGGAGATAAACATCAATGATGAGAATCATTGATCAGCTGCCTCCTGCACACCTCACACTGGGAATCGAACCCGCAACCCAGGCATGTGCCCTGACTGGGAATCAAACTGTAACCTCCTGGTTCAGAGGTTGAGGCTCAACCACTGAGCCAGGCTGGCCGGGCAGTAGATGTATATATATATATATATATATATATATATATATATATATATATATATTTGTGATCAAATTACTTTCAGGTGTCACTCTGTTGTTTTCATGCTCCCAACATCCTTCCCAGCTGAAGACCAGGCTGGCCAATGTGGACCAGGTTTTCCCCTTTTTGATGTGTCAACACCCAGTATCTCTTGCCTGTGTTTGGAGATCTGTCTGCATCAGAACCCCCTGGAGCAATGGTCGGCAAACTCATTAGTCCACAGAGCCAAATATCAACAGTACAATAATTAAAATTTCTTTTGAGAGCCAAATTTTTTAAACTTAAACTTCTTCTAACACCACTTCTTCAAAATAGACTCGCCCAGGCGGTGGTATTTTGTGGGAGAGCCACACTCAAGGAGCCAAAGAGCCGCATGTGGCTCGTGAGCCACAGTTTGCCAACCACGGCTCTGGGGGTTTGTGAAACTGTATCTTGATGGCTAGACATCCGGCTTTTGGCGGGACAGTTCCAGGGGAGCAGGCAGGTTGGATGGAGGTGGGGGGGGGGAGGCCCTCCCAGAATGCCAGATGCACCCCCTCGTGCAGATGGGGACCTGGAGTCCTGGCAGGGGGAGATGTGCTCCAGCTTAGGCGTTCCGGATTGGCCATGACTCCAAGGCAGTGGTTCTCAAAGTGCGGCCCTGGGAGCCCTTGGGGTGGGGCCACGCCCCGGGGCAACAAGCCTCCCTGAGGCGTGTGCAGGTCGGAGAATCCCGGCCTAGCGGGTACCCACGTAACAGGGAGGTTAGTGGGAAACTCAGGTCTCTGGAAAGTGGTTGTGGGGAGAGAAAGTGAGCTGTGAGCGTGAATGTGAGGGGTCTCTGCGATGGACTGAACGTTCACGCCTCCCCACCCCCATTCGTATGGTGAAATCCTAACCCCCCAATGTAACCGTGGGGCCTGGGAGGCGAGGCGGTCTGAGGGCTCTGCTCCCGTGAACGGGATGTGCCGTGGTGGGAGGACAGGAGGGGACAGCCCAGTGAACGGGGCAGTCCTCCAGCGCCTTGATCTCGGACCCCCAGCCTCCAGAACTGAGAAACCAATGTCTGCTGTTTAATAAGCCTCGCAGGTCACCGTCTTTGGTGACAGCAGCCGGATGGGCAAGGCATCCCCACGTGTGACTTCTGAAGTCCAACCTCGTAGCCTGGCCTCTGGGCTCCACACGGTTTCCCAGCCCGCCTGCTCGGGCTGCCTGCCAGGTTCTTCCCCCCGGGAAGTCCTGCCCCTGTGTTTCCTTTGCCTTCTCCAGCCCTCCCATCCGCCTCCTCCTGAAAGCTGCCTCAAGCCCAACCTGAGACGTCCTCCTAGCCCCAAAGACCCGGGAGATCAGGAACGCAGAAGGATGCTCCCTCCTCAGACCCCCTGACCGCACTCAGCCGCCTGTCAATCATGTTCGGCTCCTCTAATGACCTCAGTGGCCAAGTCCTCCCCCCGCCCCCCGCAGTCTCCCACCCCCTCTCCCAGCAGCACCCGGAGTACAGCAGACCCCGTGTTTGCTGAGGGAGTAGCAGCGTCCTTTCTGAAACGCCCCTTTGAAAGGTCAGCTGCTGCTTCACCGCAATTCTTCACCTTCAGCTTCTACCTGCACCGGCTCTCACTGCCGGCGCTGAAGTCTTTTCACAGCTGCATGCGGGAGGCGAGGGTGATTTGACCCCAGCGCCACAATGAAAGCAAATGAGCGCCCTCCGTGCAGACCAGCTTTTCCAACCTTGACCTAGACTGTTCATCTGGAGAGGGGCCTCCTGCCTGATACACCCTCTCGCCCAATCTCACAGGGGGGACGACCAGCCGAGAGGGGCTCGGCCTGGCCAGGGCTTCCCAAAGGCTAGCGTTGCTTCCTGGCATCTCCAAGGCCCTCAGGGGTGGGCAGAAGGCACCAACTTGGTATTCAGATTCTGGGGCCAGTGATGACCCGCCCCCCGGGCCCCCCACCACAATTCAGCACCGTCAGCTACGGTGCTCCCCAGCCTGCTGCATGCAAGGCGAGCCCCCTGCACCCTGCAGCTCTGGGTGGCTCCTTACAAGCGTTCCTGTGACTCAGACATCCCGACAGCCAGCCGGAGCTCCGAGGCCTCAGGTGGACCTACCAATGACACAAAGGCCGTCCTGGCTCCTGCCTGCTGGTCTCCAGCCTGGGGCATCCCACCTGGCTGCTGCCTCTGACTCAGGAACCCCCTCTCGTCCCCATGGTCCCAGGCAGACCTCATCTTGATCCCTGCCAATCCCCCAGTATAGGGACCAGCACCCTATCCCAGCTGGCTCCGGGACCCCACCCGTTCGCCCACTGCCCTCAGGCGGGCTCCCACCCACTCATGGGCACCGGGGGTGAGAAAAGGAGGCCACGCAGGTCAGGAGATGGTCATGATGCTGGCCGCTGGGTGGCGGTCGGTGGGTCAGCGCAGGCAGGGGCACTCGGCGGTCTCGGTGTTGGTTAAGGAGGCCCCTGGGATGAGAGCTTGCCTCGGGGGACATTTCCTGAAGGGTCTGGGGTGGCTTCTGCATCGCTGGTCCTTGTGGCTGCCGTCTGTCCAGCACACTCTGGGTTCCATGCGCAGTAAGATAAATTTCACCGTCTCCATTTTGTCCAATATAAATTTCTAGGAGGAAAAAATAAATCTCTCATCCTTTATGCTTGACACCACTTCCCCAGGGACCACAGCACCATCAAAATCTGCTCCTAGGTGAAGGAGCACACCTAGGTTCAGAGAGGTTCAATGACTTGCCTGAAGCTGCACAGCCCAGTGGGGGCCGAGCTGGAGGACTCAGAGTCTAGATCTCGTGCGGCTTCTTGGACGTGGTTGCCTGCCTCTGACCACTGCTTCCTCCCTAAGACACACCCTGGCTGCCTGGCCTCCCTCTGTGAGAGGCATCCAGTTCCTGAGGACCAGGTAACCCTTTATCTGCCCCCACCCCCAGCTCTTCCCCCAGCACAATGCTGAGCGCATGCAGGTGTCTCTAAAACGAGGTGGGGTGATTCGTACGGGAGTCCACTGGGACCCCTTGACATTACTTTCTTGTGGGAAGATGACATGAATACACTAACTATCCAGACACTCGTACCCTTCTTTAAAACTGCACCATTCCTTTTGCAGCCGAAGGAGGTAAGCCCCGGGGGTGCCAGTTATGTGCCTTCAACATGAAGGGTGCCTCAGCGCCATGCCACAGAGGGCCCTGCTTCTTCCTGGGACGTTCTTAAACAAGTGCTTCTCGACCAGGATGCCAGCTCGCTCACCGCTGACGGCAGCTACCGGTCAACTCGGGAGAAGGGACTTGGCTCTCTGTGTTCCCGAGAAGCTAAGGGTCCCGTGTGAATGTCTCCACTGAACCGACCTCAAGGGAAGAAAGCAAGTCATGACCTGGGACGAAGCCAGTCCTGAAGATGGCAGACGGGGGCAGGGGCTGGGGGGCCGCACGGGAAGGCCAGGTCCTTGTTGGTGCTACTGGGCCTCTGGTCACACCATGCCTGAAATCCCGCCACCAAACATCCACTCGAGACGCAGGACATGCCTGTTAGAAGTGCCCACCAACCTCAACGAAGAACACGGTTGTATGACACGCACCGACGGATTTCAAATCTTCCTGCAAAGTCACAGGAGGCAAGACAGCGCGGTGCTGGCACCAGGCCCACAAACAGATCAGTGGACTAGAAAGGAGTCCAGAACTAGCACTTCTCCTTTTGGGCAATTGGTGGTTGGCAAGGGCGAGGAGACAAGTCAATGGGGGAAGAATCATTTTTTTCAACCAATTGTATCAGGACAACTAAATATTCTTACGCAAAAGAATGAGATTGGATCCCTATCTTATATCATATACGAACATTAATTTAAAATGGATAATAAGCCGAAACCGGTTTGGCTCAGTGGTAGAGCGTAGGTCTGCGGACTGAAAGGTCCCAGGTTCGATTCCGGTCAAGGGCATGTACCTGAGTTGTGGGCACATCTCCAGTAGGGGGTGTGCAGGAGGCAGCTGGTCGATGTTTCTCTCTCATCGATGTTTCTAGCTCTCTATATCTCTCCCTTCCTCTCTGTAAAAAAAAAATCAATAAAATATATATTAAAAAAATGGATAATAAATCTAACTAATAAAGCAAAAACTACAAACTTCTTAGAAAAACTTAGGTATAAATCTTTATAACTTTGGATTAGGTAGGCAATGTTTTTCTTTTCTTTTTGGTTTGATGCCTAAAGCATCATAACCAAAGAAAAAATAACTAAATTGGATTCATAAAAATTAACAACTTTTGTGCTTCAATGCATACCATCAACATGAAAAAACAATCCATAGAACGAGAAAAAAATATCTTTAAATTACATACTGTAGAAGGGACTTGTATCCAGACTAGGTAAAGAATTTTTACAACTCAACCATGAAGACAAATGATCCAATTTAAAAATGGGTAAAGGATCTGAATAGATATTCCTCCAGAGAAGATACACAAATAGTCAATAAACACCTTATGAAAAGATGCTCAACATTCCTAGTCATCAAGAAAATGCAAATGCAAATCAAAACCACAACAAGAAACCATTTCACATCCACTTGGATGGCTACATTGCAACAGACAGGCAATACCGAGTGTTGACGAAGAAAATGGGGAAATTGGAAGCCTCATATATGGTTGTAAAATTATGCAGCCACTTTGCAAAACAGTATGGCAGTTCCTCAAACCATTAAACATAGTTATCACATGACTCAAATTCCACTCCTAAGTATATACGCAAAGTAATTAAAAAGACATGTCCACAAGAAAACATGTTCATATGTATTTATAGCAACATTATTCATAATAGTAAAAAAAAGAAATAACCCAAAGGCCCATCAACTGATGAATGCTAAACAAATTGAGGGCTAGCCAAACAATGGACTGTTTTCAGTCACTTAAAGGAATAAAATATTGACTCATGCTCCTGTACGGATGAAACTTGAAGACAATTCATGAAGTGAAAGAAGCCAGATGCAACATGTATTGTGAGGAGTGATGGAAACGTCCAGGAATCAGATACTAATGATGGTTAGGCAATTCTATACAGAAAACACTGGAGTGTGCTCTTTAAAAGGATAAATGGTATATGAATTACATCCCAGAAATATTGTGATTAAAAATAAAAAGCTACGCTCTGTTGTCAGTGGGAGCCAATTTGATCCCATGTTCTCTGTCGCTGAGTATCAGCATTATGAATGATGGGGGTTTGGTCCTTCTGGGGACAGTGAGAAGGGAAACGTCCATGGACTTGACCGAGAGTCTTAAGTGTAAATTGAGATCTCGTTACAGAGCTCCCTTAGTCATCGGAATGCCCCTCCCAGCATTCGCACGTGTGACCTCATGTGTGTGTGCGCTTTGGTGTGTGTGTTTGCAGGTGTCAGTGTATGTTTCATGTGTATTGTGAGGTGTGCAGAGAGCACCTGTGACTGTCTGTATGAGTGTGTACACGGTGTATGTGTGTGTGTGAGTATGTGTGTGAGTACGTGTGTGAGTGTGTGTGTGAGTGTGTGAAGTGTGTGAATGTGAGTGTGTAAGTGTGTGATGTGCCGGTGGGCTGCACATAAAGGCCGGGCAGGGCAGGAGTGCCTGGACACCCACCTCCGACCTTGCACCCCACAGGTGCTCATCATAAGTTTGTTGAGAGACTAATGGAGACCCTGAGACCTCACGGGCACCAGGAGCCACGCAGCCGTGCAGAGGGGAGTTAATGGGGAGGGGGGTAACCACGAATGCACCCTGAAGGGGCTGAGGTTGGGGGAGCCTGGAAGCAGGGAGTGTCACCTGGATCAGGTCGAGCTTGGTAAAGAGGCCCATGGGCACGGCAGGGGCAGAGGAGCAGCACTGCTGGGCCATGTTGTCGATGGTCATCTGCAAATAGCTGAGCAGCTGGCTCTGCAAGAGGAGCAGGAAGAGGTGGCGGAGGCAGTGGCTCAGCCCTCCCCCAGAATCCCCTGCCCCCCCGGCCTCCTGTCCCGCTGACCCCAGCTCTCTCAGGTCCGAGAAGCGACCTGGAGCCAGGAGCCACCTCCTCAGCCTGGTCTGAGCCCCACTCCCACAGGCTGTATGCAGTCCCTCCCGCCCGCAGGGTCTGAGGGCCCTCCTGGCTGGGGATGCCTGTGGTCCCACCTGGGGCAGGGGCGGGGCAGGGGCCTGCAGGCACCCAGCGCTCCTCACTCCGGGCAGCGCCTGCGTCCTGGGCTTCAGGCCTCCAGGGTGGTGATCAGCTGCGGCCGCCTTGCTTCCCATCTTGAAAAGACCCAGAGGGGCTCTCTACCCTCTGCCAGCCCACGCCCCCTCCGAGCTCCTTGGTTGGAGGTCAGCAGCCTACAGACCCCAGCTTTCATGTCTTCCAAATTAGGGTCCCATGGGGCTTGGGAAGGTCCTTCATTGATGACCACACCTGCGCAGGTGGGGTGTGCCCAGAGCAGCCCTGTGCCCCGGGCCTCAATTCCCGCACCCTCCCAGCAGCCCCTGAGGCTGGAAGGCCACAGTTCCGAGCATTTTTCATGGGCAAGGCCTGGGGGCAGGGGCAGGAGGGTAACCAGTTCACTTTCAGAAGGCCACTAAGAAGCAGTAGAGAGCCCAAGCTCAGAAATCCTGGCCCTGGTCACGAGCTTCGACCATGACCTGCTCTCCTGAGCATCACTCTTCTCATCTGTGAAATGGGTACAACCAAGCAGTAGTTCGGAGTGCCTGTTCTGGGTTAGGCCTTGTGCTAAGCCCTCCCCGGTAACAATCCAAGACCGTGCACAGCAACCACTCACTTAAACGTCATTATCCCTCATCACAGGCATGACAGAAGGACTGATCCAGCAGCCAGCACTGGCAGGGGCCGTGGGCCTGGGCTGGGGATCCCAGCTCTGGTTCTTGGCAGAGCCGGGTCCGAATTCTCTGTGGCTGCCATTTTCCTAACGGGAACATGACACATGCCCGTTTTGGAGAATCCCTTGGAAAGCTAGCCATCGCCATGGAGTGCAAGCCGGTAAGCGGTGTGTGTGCGCATGCGTATGTGTGCGTGTGTGTGTGTGTGTGTGTGTGTGTGTGTGTGTGTGTTGAGGGGTGAGGAGACAGCAGCTTCCACCCCCACCCCCACCCCTGGGCCAGCAGACTGGACTCACATGATAGCTGCCCGCGTCTTTCTGGAAGGCGACATCGTGTTCCGACTGCCACTGCTGCTCCTGCCTGCGGTGACACCTCTTCTGCAGCTGGCACAGCCGGATCTTGAGGGTCTGTGGTGAGAAGGGCCGGGTCAGCACCAGGAGATTCAGCACCGGGCATGTCCAGGCCGCCTGGGGACAGGATCCCAGCTCAGCCCCCAGAACCCCAGAGTCAGACCCGGAGCCACCGGTCTGTGCCCTCCTGGCCGCAGAGATGCTGGGAGGACAGTGGGGAGCAAGGTTGCGAGTGGCCACCGCGCTGTGCTGAGCACAGTCCCACCTCCGGGCCCCACGGGGTTTGGGAGACACAGGGCATCGCAGTGTCCTCACGTCTCTGAGCCTGAGTTCCCTCACCTTGAAGATGGGAAGGGCAGCAACGAAGGTGTTAAACTCGAGGGGGCGTTAAAAATACCCTCAGCAATCAGGATCAATCACATTTTAAAGCAATGCTTTTCAAAAAAATCAAAGTTAATGCAAAAAAGTTCACGATGAACAAAATACTACAATTTTTTTTAAAAGGTAGGAGCCAACCCTGCAGGTACACACTCCTCTCACTCACTCGCCCTGGTTCAGTGCTTGGAATAGAAGTACCTACAGGAGGTGCTGGGTGAGATGGAAAGGCGATAAAGCCTGTAAAATGCTTATTGCGCTGCCCGCCACCACAGAGGGCCCTGGCTCTGGGAAGGAAAGGAGGTGCAAAGCGGTGTAGGTCTTCCATGCTGCCACCAGGGGGAAGACTCGCTGCAAACATCACCAATGGTCGGTCCCCTTTGCAAGAAGTCAATCAACCAGCCAGCCTTCCTCTCCCTCTGGCGGCCCCTTTCCCTCTCTGTCCTCAAGCCCCAGTGCAGCATGCACACGACTCCTGCCAGGCCTTTGACCGGGCAGCTCCTTCTGCCTGGAATGCCCATCCTTCCTGGTGAAAGCCCTATTTATTGCAAGACTAGCCAAGAAGGACACACACAGAGAGGACGTCTTGGGGCCACTCCCTGTGAGACAGTTTGAGTTCGGTGTCTGTCTTTCAACAACCCAGTGGCTGAGTTGCATGGCCCCCATTTGACAGATGAAGAAACTGAGGCTCAGTATGGACTAGCCCAGGGTCATGCATCTAGGAAAGCTGAGCTGGAACGTGACCCCCACCAGGCTGTCTGGATCCAGAATGCATGGCTTTTCTTTAAATATATTTTTATTGATTTTTTACAGAGAGGGGAAGGGAGAGAGATAGAGAGCTAGAAACGTCAATGAGAGAGAAACATCGACCAGCTGCCTCTTGCACACCCCCCACCGGGGATGTGCCCGCAACCAACTTACATGCCTCTGACCGGATTCGAACCCGGGACCTTTCAGTCCACACACTGACACTCTACCACTGAGCCAAACCGGTTTCCGAAAGAATGCGTGGCTTTTCTACCACAAAGGACTCCTTGGGAGCATAAGCCGAGCCGCGGGAGACACCCCGAGCCAGCCAGCGGAAGGGCAGAGAAAGGGATACAGAGCCTGTCTCCGGAGTGACAGCCCCACCCAGGCCTCTCAGCAGCCCACCCCTGCCTCAGGGTGGGGAGGGAAGGGGGCCCTAGGACCCCGAACTCTGGGACAGTGGGAACGGGCAAGGCTGCAGGCGGCTGTTACCGGAATGAGGGCTCGATGGCTCTCCTCGAGGGACTCCAGGCTCTGGTGGACGGCCTGGCTCATCCTGGAGAAGGCCTCCAGGTGCTTCTGGATGTCCTGGCTGACGGCGAAGAGCTTCCCATAGTGCTCCACCAGCGCCTCCACCAGGGCCTCCTCCTGGGCCTCCTCCATCTCCCGCCCTTCACTGTAACCTGTGGGGACAGAGCTGTGGGGGATGGTGGGCAGGAGAGCTGGCCCTCAGCCACCCCTTCCGTGGGTGATGCTAATACGGTAGATGGGGCTTCTGCTGCTGCCCCAGAATTCCAGCTGGGCTCAGTCCCCAGTAGGGGGCGTGCAGGAGGCAGCCAATCAATGGCTCTCATCATTGATGTTTCTCTCTCTCTCTCTCTCTCTCTCTCTCTCTCTCTCTCTCTCTCTCTCTCTCTGTCTCTCTCTCCCCTCCCTTTTTCTCTGAAAAAACAAACAAAACAAAACAAATAAATATGTGTTTTTTCTCCCCTTCCCTTTCCCAACAAGTTTTCAGCACTGTTTCAGTGGGTTTTGGTATAAATACGGACAAAACAAAACAAAATATAAAGACCCATTCAGCTGTCAGTGCCATTTTAGTTGCTAATACCTAAACACAAACCAAAGACAAACACAGTACTTGTCCTAGTAGCTCACCTTTACTGGGTGCTAGCTGCACGCCGGGTCCCGTGCTACATGCTTATGAAAGAGGCGTTCAAGATACAGAGGCAGTAAAGCATCTAACAGACTGTCCGATTACAGTGGGAAGGTTAGGGAGAGGTGGGGAGATAAGAGATCAACCGAAGGACCTGTATGCATGCATATAAACATGACCAATGGATGCAAAACACTGGGGGGGGGTGGTGAGGGCATGTATGGGAGTGGGGTGGGGGAGAACAATGGTAAGATATGTACACATATAATAAAATAATAAAATGAAAATAAAAAATGAAATAATATAATAAAAAAATGAAATTAAAACAAAAGAGGTGTTTACCTAATCCACATAACTGTTGCTGTCCACATTGTATAGATTCAGAAACCAAGACCTTGAGAACCTACCCACAGCCAACATGATTGGTGCTGGCAGGCCCGGGGCCCTCGGGCAAGCTGGCTCAGCCCCTGTGCCTGCCTCAAAGATGGGGCATCGGCCTGCATGGAGCATCTGCCCAGATGAGCTCCAGGCTCAGGGCGGCCACACCCTGTGCCCCACTGCGGAGTCTAGGAAGTGGCCACACCCAGGAAGCCACAGACATACCCTTGGGGATTTTCTCCAGGACCTTAACCAGATAGTCTTCAAAAAGCTTGTACTTCTCCACCTCCCTCTTCAGCTTCCTCTGCCTGTGGAGACATCGCAGAGACCGTGTGAGCCAGACGTGAGGCTGTGACTGGGAGGCTCCCAGCTCCGGACCCCCTGCAGGGCCGCCCTCTGGGGTCCCCTGCTCAGAGCGGTGCTGGCCGGCCACTCCTCCCCCCATCCGTGGGCCACTGGCTCCAGTCTTTCCACCCCGTTTTACCACTGAGCAAACCGAGCCACAACGAGGTCAGAGAGGTGCCTGTGGCCAGGCAGTGAGCTGGGGCCCCGGGGAGAGTGAAGCCGGGATATTGGGGTTTGGGGGTCTCTGGTGCTTCTCCGGAAGGCTGAGCAGGTGCTGGGTGGCTTGAGCCCCCTTTAGGAGGTGACTTGGCAGGTGTTTTGCCTCTCTGTGGCCATCTGTGATGGGGGTCATGAGAGACCCTCCCCCACGGGCTGTCCGGGACTGGCCTGGGGACCTAGCACCTCAAAAGCACCCAGTCTGAGGTCAGGAACCCCAGCGTCCTCTGAGGGGAGAGGGCTGCATGCTGCCGCCCAGCTGTGTCCCACTCTCAGGGGACCCCTCAGCAAGATGAGTCTCCACTCTTGGCGTCTAGTCAAGGTCAGCGGTCAAGGGCAGGGGACAGAGTAGGGCCTGTTCCCGCCAGCTGGCTGAGCTGACAGGGGGTATCTCTGAGTGACAGCAGAGGGACATGGCAAGCCACTCTGTCTCTCAGGCCCCACTTTCTCCTCCACACAGTCCTGGAAAATGCAGGGGAAATGTGTCTTTTCCTGCAAATAGCACACGGGACCCCATGGGCCACATTGCTCAACCTTCTGGGGCCGGAAGCCCTTCTATAATAGAACCTGATGGAAGGGTTAGAGTCTAACCAGTGGTCGGCAAACTCATCAGTCCACAGAGCCAAATGTCAACAGTACAACGATTGAAATGTCTTTTTGAGAGCCACATTTTTAAAGTGTAAATTTATTCCAATGCCACTTCTTCAAAATAGACTCGCCCAGGCCGTGGTATTTTGTGGAAGAGCCACACTTGCGAGCCGCAGTTTGCTGACCACAGGGTTAGACCTTTCTTCCTTAAAAATTGTTCAGACGCATCCATTTGCATCGAATCCAGGCCTTTGTGGGGGGCCTGAAATTGAAGGGGCCCCCAGGGGGCGAGGACCCAGGGCCTCCACTCAGAGCCAGGGGGCCACCTAGCAGGCTGATTTCAGAGGGGCGGGGCACAGGATGGCACCCACAGCCCTGCCTCCGGGATGGGGCGCCCTGCCTGCGGAGGGCTGAGACTCGCCCAGCGTCTCAGGTCAAAGGACACGGGCCAACCCCTCCAGCCCCCTGGCCTCAGCTGCCCCTCCCCAGTTACTTCCAGGCCTTCCTCCCCTCCTCCATTTCCTGGCCTGGCATTTTAGCGCAGGCCCAGCCACTCAGCCCACGGCGGGGGCACTGGGCATGAGGCTGGGGGCCTGGCGGGGCCTGGAGGGGCGCGTACTTAGCCTGGAGCTGGCAGAGTTCCTGTAGCAGCACCTGCAGGCATTTGTCCTTGTGGCCGGCACTGTTCTGGCCGGGCGCCTGGCCTGTGTCCATGGCCACTGGCATCGCCCCTCACCACGCCAGGCCGCTCTGGAGGCCGCGGGCCACGGGGCCAGGCAGGAAGGTGACGGCCGCACGCAGGGTAGCAGCTTGGTCTTCCGGTGCTCCCGACAGTCCGTGGCGGCCAGGATACACTCCCACTGCACGGAAAGGGAGACAGGCTCGGAGGGGCCGGGTGAAGCTCAAGGACACACAGCAGGACTAGATTTGGACTCGGGGCTCATGAAATCGAAAATCTGGGGTCTTTGAGCTGCATCCCAGCTCTGGAAGGGCCAAACGTGCCATTCTGTAGCAGCCTATGGCCCTGCCACCCCGGATAGTCCCATCACCACAAGTCTGGAGGCCACCAGCATCCCCGGACTCCCTGCAGGCACTGTTTCCACGGCACCCAGGATGGTCAGGGTCAGGGTCAGGGTCAGGGTCAGGGTCAGGGTCAGGGTCAGAGTGGGACTGGCTCAGCCGCTGCCCACAGAGGGAGAGTCACTTTTGTCGTCTCTCCCTCCCCGCCCACCCCTCCGCCCAGGTGTGCTCTTAGCCCACATCACAAACTCTGAGCTTATTCAGAGCTGACCGAGTTAGGGTGGAGACCGAGACGGACGCTTTGAATAAACTCCTGGCTGGCTGGGAAGGTGGTCTAGTTGCCAGGGGCCTTCGACCTCGCTTTGCAAAGAGTTCCTGGGCCGCTGGCTTCAGGCCGCCCCCAGTTATGACCAAAAGGAAACGAAAGTCTCCCTGGGGCGCCATGCACTGGGGTCTCCTGGCCCAACGCACAGGGGAGGGGCCGGGAGAGGAGGGGGGGCTGCCTGCTCAGTGTCTCCAGCCCCAGATCAGACCTGCCTACCTGGTCACTGGGAGGAGGAAGCGGCCTCGCTCACTCACTGCTCCAGGAGCACAAGCACAGCCGGGCGGTGAGGTCACAATGCCGCCTCTGACCTTGTGACCTGCCTGGTGCAGGATCCGCCCGCCCATGGGCTGTCTCATCACAAGGGGGGCTGCAGGTTCCCCAGAGCATCCCCAGCCCTCGCTGGAGAAGGAGAGGCAGAGGGATGCTGAGCTCAGCACACGGAGGCTCAGAGGAGCCCGGCCAGGAGGCACAGGCGGGAAAGGGCTTCTGCCGAGGGCACGGCCTGGTCAGACTGGCCTCAGAGGGCGGCCCGCTCAGGCGGGCACCAGGCAGGCAGCCAGCGGTGGCGGCAGCGAACCTCTGGGCACAGCGCTGAGCACCTTCCCTGCAGAGCTTAACTTAATCCGACACACCCACACGGCAGAGCCGGCGCTCACAGGTGGGGAGACTGAAGTCCCGAGGGTTAGTAACTTGCCCAGGGTCTCACTTTTGGGAAACTAAGATTAAAAAAAATGTTTTGTGTGTGTGTGTTTTTTTAATTGATTTCAGAGAGGAAGGGAGAGGGAGAGAAGGGTAGAAACATCAATGATGACAGGGAATCATTGATCAGCTGCTTTCTGCCGATCGAGCCCACAACCTGGGCATGTCTCCTGTCCAGGAATCGAACCGTGACCACCTGGTTCATAGGTTGAAGCTCTACCACTGAGCCATGCGGCCGGGCACTGAGCAGAGATGTCCCTTCTGTGGGAACTCAGAGCCCCCTGGGAGATTGGGTTGCCGGGACTGGGACACAGGTCCCGTGCGGGTCCTACAGGCCGGAACAGCAGGAGGCAGGGCTGGGAGCTCCGAGCAGCTCAGGGCCCTACACCGCTTGACCCGGCACCACCGCAGGCTGGGGTGCAGGGATGGCGGAACGATTTGCTTCCCAGGAAGGACTCTGCCTCGGGCCTGCGGTGTCCTGAGCACAGCGCTCTGCACACATCCTGGGCTGGCACCTGAATCGGGTCTGCAGCCTCCTGAGTCTGCTCTTTAAGTTCTTTAGCCACACCCCACTCCCTCCCTAACTGCTTGCCTCAGATCCCGCTTTTAAAAAAAATATTTTATTGATTTTAGAGAGGAAGGAGAGGGAGAGAGAGATAGAAACATCAATGATGAGAGAGAATCGTTGACTGGCTGCCTCCTGCATGCCCCTCACCGGGGATCGAGCCCAAAACCCAGGCATGTGCCCTTGGCTGGAATCAAACCTGGGACCCTTCAGTCCACAGGCTGATGCTCTATCCACTGAGCCAAACTAGTTAGAGCTCAGGTCCTTCTTTATGCTCTGGTTCTTCCTCCTCCTCTCTCACCTCCTCCTCCTCCTCTTCCCCATTTCCCTTCCCCAATTTCCTCTTCCTCTCCACCCTCTCTTCCTTCCTCTCCTTCCCCCTTCACCTCCCTCCTCTCCTCCTCCTCCTCCTCCTCCTCCCCCTTCTCCCTCCCCCCTCTCCCTCCCCCCATCCCTCTGCCAGCAAGCTGCAGACCCACCTTCCTGTCCAGGGGAAGAACTGGGGGCTTACATTGGGGCTCAAAGGAACTGGAGAAGAGAGGAGACCAAGGCTGAGAGAGGTGGGAACGGCCAAGGTTACGCAGCTGGTGAGGGGCCCAGGCTCCCGGCCTGGCTCTGTCCCCTGGGCTTTGGGAGAGAGACCGAAGGCAAGGCCATCCATTCCAGACAGCTGGGAACCCTGGGAGCTGGGAGCCCGCTTCAAGGGCAGAGCCCCAGTCACAGGGCAGTAGAATCCCTCCCCCCCCCCCCCCAACCCTTTTAAAGCCTTAACGAGGACTCCTGGGGCTGGAATCTGACCCCGGAGCTTGAGTCTCACGGCACAGCCGAAGGATGGGCCAGATCAGGCCTGCAGCCCAGAATCCCAACCCCCACTGCCCCGCCGCCCCAAATGCCCCCTCGCGGACAGGGCCAGCCGTCCCAGCAGCGAGTGATGTTGAGGATGCAGAGTGAGTCTGTGGAGCCCGGCGAGACGGCCAGCTGTGTGACCTCAGGGAAGTGCATGACCACTCTGAGTCTGTTTCCTAAAACACAACCGGGAGGTAAAAGCACCCAGGACTGAATGAGGTAATCCACGTGGAACATTTAGCATAGCCTCATTTAAAAAAATTAATGTGTGTGTGTGTGTGTGTGTGTGTGTGTGTGCACGCCTGCGTGTGCCGAAGACAGCCTAGAAGGGGGTGAGTAAGCTTTGCAGGCCTCATCCTAAGGGTAGGGCGTGAGGGGAAATGTCTATAATCCTAACTCTTTGAGCTGAGCAAGCAGCACAGAGCCCGACAGGCGGCAGGCACTCAGTCAGCCTTAGTTTTGTTCTCTGCCCCTCCCTTCTCTCCCGCTCCAGAGGCACCAGGGCAGTGACCTGCTAGCAAGGACTCACTCCTTTCCTGAGATTTTCTGTTGTTGAAACTTCCCGCCTTAGAGATGTCTTTGTCTCAGAATCTCCATAAAAGGAATGGTATAATAAAAGGCCAGAGAAGAGTTAGTCACCCCACTAGAGGTGAACTTCCCGCCTGGCCCCCATTCTCCCAAATTAACTCTTTTCCAGTCTCTTCATTTCAGTGTGCGGCCTTCTCCAGAAACCGGACCCTGAGTGGGCCCTGAACCACGTGGGTCGTGTTAAGGGATCCCACCCCCTCCCAAGAGTGCCATGCTCACCGTGGGGCTCAAAGAGAGCTAGGACATCTGCCCTTTCTTATGCTGAGTCCAAATATGTCTCCTTGGAGTGTTCCTCTTTTAGTCCTAGTTCAACTGCTTCCCCACATGGAGTCTCTTGCTAGGACACCTACTTTTTATTTTTTTAAATATATTTTATTGATTTTTCACAGAGAGGAAGAGAGAGGGATAGAGAGTCAGAAATATCAATGAGAGAGAAACATTGATCAGCTGCCTCCTGCACACCCGCCACTGGAGATGTGCCCGCAACCAAGGTACATACCCCTTCAGTCCACAGGCTGATGCTCTATCCACTGAGCCAAACCGGTTTCAGCCAGGACACCTACTTATTAATGCCAGATCGATAGAGTCATATTTCAGCATAGCAGCGACCCTGAAGGCGGTGACCGCCCTCAGCAGCTCTTCTCATCATGAGCTGTCTGGCCTGGGGCGGGCCCCTGAGCCTCACTCACTCCCTGAGCCTCAGTTTCTCCCTTGGTGAAATGGGGTTAGCAATGGTACCCACCTCATACACAGTCATAAGATTACATTAGCTAATATTCACACATACACGTAGCACCTGGCCCATACCGTAGTGAGTGCTCGGAAAAGTTCCTATTGTTCCTATTATCCTGTCGGGTGCAGGGCCACTCAGGGCCCAACCTCTGTGCCATTTTTGGGTCCCCAGTTGTTTCTATGCAAGGCCACACCCTGTCTTAAACATTCTCTAGCCAAGCTGGAAAAGGGGCCAGTCTGTCTGGGTCACCAACACACATGAACCCCCAGTGCTCAGAGGTCTTTCCAAAGTCTCCAGGGAATTGCCTGATCCTGGTGGCCACTTCATCCATTGAGCTTGACAGGCAAGGCCCCAACCCCTGGGACATTAGCTGCCTGAGCAGAGGCTGAGAGTTCCCAGCTGGGGTGACTTCTGCCAGCTCCCTGGGTGGCCTGGACCCAGCCTTCTCTTTATTATCACTTTTTTAGGGCGATCTGATGTTCTTTAAAAATGCTGGCGGCTGGGGGGGCGAAGGCAGCCAAGGACCAGCAGAAGCAGCAGTGAGGGAAGGAGAGAACCAGCAGGGCGTGGTGTCCTGAGAGCCAGGAAGAGGGGTCGGGGTGGACCAATTCCTAGCCCGGCCCCAAGGCCTCCGGCCGGGCCTGTGCCTACGGGTAGCATCGTACCTGTGATGATGCCACCTCTCACGGCAAAAGGGATTCTGTGACTGTCATTAAGGTTCTGATCCGTGGACTGGGAGACACGGAGACCTCCAGCCCGTGTGGTCTGATTACTCCCAGGACCTCTGGAGGCAAAGCACCTTCTCTGGCTGGCAGCAGAACTAGCCTGAGAGATTGGCATGGGAACGAGTTCAGGCGAGGGAGGCCGGGGTGGAGGCTTATGAGGCAAAGACCCCAGAGGCCTCCGAGCATGGTCTCCGGCCGATGGTCAGCAAGAAAAGGGGACCTCCA